CCAAAGACGACTCTTAATATTCCAATGACCAAAAAATTAACTTTAACTTCCAGCGCTTTAAAAAAATGAAAGTATGTATATATTTAAAAAAAGGGAAAAGCTGACAACATTATTTATAATTGAAGGGGTGAGTGGATAAAGGTATTATGTTTTTTTGAAAACTGGTATTTTCTTTTAAAACATTTTTTTTCGCAATATTCATTTATTGAAAAAGACTTTTAAGTGTTGGTTTCTATTAGGAATAAAATTACCAAATGCTAAAGGCGTTATGTACAACTTGGATTGTTGAATAAACAGTGGATAAAAGTGTTAAAATATGTTTAAATAAATTAATAAATAATAAATAAATGTTTAAAAAAAACACACATAACACCATTTTTAATTAATTCAATTACTTTCCGACGTATTTTGACAAAATTTTGAGTTTTTTAATAAAAAATTTTAAAACTCTCGAGAGCATAAATTATGTCGTATTTTATTTAGTCTGGTTTGGTATATGTTTTCTAGCAAAAATTAAAGAAAAAACTTTATTTTAGACTTAAAATCGCAACTAAATGTTTGAAAGAAGCAAAAATAACATAATTTACAAATTAATTTTTCGGCTAATTTTTGACGAAGTTTTCTGATTTTGATTGAAAAATCTGCTAAAACGTTTGGAAAATCAACCATATGATTTTTCGGCTCGAAAACATGCTTAAACTCTTCAAAGAAGTAAAAATAATTTTTGTTTCGTAATAGTTTATTAATTTTTTACCTCATTTTCGACGAAAATTTTAAAATAATTGCGATTCTGACTAAAAAACGTCCCAAAACGAAAAAATGGTATTATTTTTGAACAAAATTTTTAGCACAATCTAAAAAATTAAAAATAACACCATTTTTGAATAAATTTAGCAATTTGTGATTTTGTAAATTTTTAATTGAAAAACGTGCTAGAACGCCCAAAAAATAATAAAAAAGGTCATTTTCAACACAATTTGGTAATTTTTCAATATGTTTTAACAGAATCTTACAAAAAAATGTGATGTAAATAAGCAAAATTCATTATTTTTCACTTAATTTGGTGACTTTTCGGTGTATTTTTGTCTAGATACTTTTCTAGATAATTCCATCTCCTATTGAAAAATATGGTGTTAATATGGAAAACCGTTTTCGAAAAGTCGATGAACTAGCGTCAAAATTACACCTAGTAAACAAAAAAAAAATCTTTTAAATGTTAAATGAATGTTAATTTTCGGGACAGCATAAAGTGGACTTTTTTATATTGTGGCGTTGGAATTTCATTTATAAATGTTTTGTTAAACTTGAAATATTTTTATAAAGCAATAATTATCACAGAGTTTATATTAGTAAACAAAGCTTGTTTTTTGGTACAGAACATTGATACATTGCTACAAATCGTATAAAAAGTCTATTGGTATTTAATTTTTTAAAATATGCAGAGAAACTTGTAAAAAAATTCTGAAAGCAAGAAAGTTTGTGCTGTTGTAAACAAAGACGGTTTTCATTTTTCAAAGAACTAAACGGAAAAATTCTCTTTATTGAAAAGGACAACAATAATTTGTCTTTCAACTTAAAAAAATTGTTAGCAATTTTGAAATTTTGGTGTCACTATATTAAATATTTGAAGTTCTGAACAACTGCTCGAACGTTTATTGGGCTCGCTGCAATTTTCAGCCCGTATCCTCCACTTTGACACATCACGTAAACTCGAAAATAAATACCAGAAGATTACTAAGAAATACGTTGGTGCGTGTATTCATGCTTTATTGATATTTCACAGTTTAATGAAATATTATTTCAGGAAAACCGTTATCAATAAAAACAGCTCATTCAACGAAAATAATAGAAAGCGAATAATAGGCTGCGTTATAACAGAACTGAAATTATGTGTGAAAGATTATTCATGAGTCATTAATAAATTTGATGAAAGGTCCGATAATCTGATGTCCTTGCAGTTGGTTAATTAATTAACTTTATTGAACATTACACGTTTACTGTAATTAACACTATAAGCACTTTTTGTAATAAAGTAGGGTGCTGAACTATACAAATCATATTTTGATGATAAAAATTTGAGAATAAATCTACTTTTCTAATCACAAAATCGACTAATAAAAGTTTAGCGTAAAAACATTGTTTTACATTGTGCTACATTTAAAAATTCGAAGAAACATACGGTGTTACATGGTTGAAAATAATTTTAGTTTTTTTTTAAATTTTACCATTTAAAGATCACTAATGGACTTTGTTCAACTCGCTGGGACACCCTGTATGTATTAAAAAATAGTCGTACTTTTGATTAAAAATTGTGAAGCGATCTAAACAGAGTTTTTACAGCATCACGTAAGGCCAATTTTTTCTCTCATTTAAGAGTGACTTAAGGCCATATTTATAGCAGAATTAGCGCTAGAGTGTACTAATCCAAATCCTCAGAAAGAGAATACACTACGTAAGCGTGACTAAAGTCTATGACAATAACTTAGCGTAAAATAATGGGGAAATATCTCAAGTAGGTTTGATGAGTATACTTTTCAGATTATAATGTAATTTTGTTCTAAATTTCACGATTTTACTTACTGATATTTACGTGACGATTGTTGCATCCCTTATTTAGCTACTGCCTCGTGCGCGAAATGGGATAAAATCGGAACTCGTCGTTATTATAAACGTCTTGTATCCGTGACAAGAACCCTAGAGTAGCGTAAAGAGGGTGGCGGGAAGGACGCCGCCGATGTCGTTCCTGGCGCCGGATCTCGTGTGTCGTGACGACTGGTACCCGATCACGATGATACCGTCACCATTTAAGAAAACCAACGACAATCACAACTGTATCGACCGCCAAGGGTGACAATCGCAACAATAAAAGGAAATTAACCGACTAAATATTTTCACAGTCATTAATTTAATTGAAAAGGAAAGAGCTGTTTGAGGGTGGGTTTTCGTGAAATTTCTATTATGCGTTTTCTTTAGAGTTCCACGCATATTTTTGACAATGATTTATATTTAAAATATTTGGAAGTTCTTCTTGTATTCAGATTAAGTTATAATTTTTCTTAAATATCACTGATTTTTGTAAAATTAAAACAGTGGAAAACAAGAAAATACTTAATAAAATATTCTACTTTGTATATGTATTTGTGTTTTATTTTCGAGAAAGTGTTTCTACATTGAAGTTAATCTCCTAAAAATTCTGGTAAAAGAGAAAGTTTGGTGCTAATGTTATTCTGAAAATGAAATTACTTTCAGGTATCAAACAAGAGTCTATTTTAATCCGCAGGTAGGTAGTTTCTGCACTTTAACAACGAGATAACAACTGTGAACCATAATTACGAAGATTTACAATAGACAAGAAGTCGATATATTATAATGATTAATTTTCCCAGAAGCAAATTTCTAATCTATAGGTAAGTAAGACACCAGGAACATGGAAAAAAAGATAAAAAAAAATATATCTATAAAAATTTCAAAATTATGAGAGTTTAAATTTTGCACTTTGACTCATTTATTTCAGTTAGAAAAATAATTTTCCAAGTTTTTTTGCTACAAGCTATTAGAAGAGAAAACAAGGAAGCTCTATCCTAAATTGTTGTTATTTGTGGCTCCTATTGGAAAATTTTTTGTACCTTTACTAAATAATTATAAAAAAACGTATAAACTCTTTGGTGAAAAAATTGGTAGCAGTTTGTCTCAATAGCCACAAACTTTGTTTGCTCTTTGTTTTGGCCCCTAGAAATTTTGTTAAAAAATTATGGTTATGTTTTGAAATTAAGATGTTTTGTGAATTTTGTGTACTTGCTTGCTCTTTGAAAGCGCTACAATTGAATACCTGAGGACAGACATCATTACTTAAGGTCTAAAGACAATTTTCAGTGCTAATAATATTGATAGAAATACAAAGACTTTGAAGAAAAAGGATGTATACACAGAAAAAAGTTATTTATCAAAAGATACAAGTAGGTATTTTAATGATTGCCAATAAATTTTGTGTAATTTATTGAAATGAGCTCAAAGTTGATGCATTTTATAAATTCTTCTTCAGCTTTAGTTTCAAAATTGTTACTTTTTCAACTCGTTCCTCAAAACACGATGCACAAGACACTAACTTAATTGCGTTCTTTCCTTGGTTCTTTCTTATTCATGTTTATTTTGTATTCTTATCAATTTTTTGCTAAAAATTGAGAATGTTTAGCAAACCTGCATTACAAATTGCGTCTACATTTTAACGGGCCCTTTTTCTAACTTCCTGCTTGCCAACTATTTGTTTCCAAATTTCTAAAAACTGTTAGCGGTACCGAATTTGTTCCTTTTTTGGTGTTTCATCTCTAAAATTTTTTAGACGATTTTTTTGTAGACGTTTAATAACCATGTTTTCAAATTAATTCAAGAAACTGCCGACTTCCTTTATTAAAATTTCCATAAATGAATTTACTAGTGGTGCCAACGTTAATACTGTTTGGCAGACTTTACAAGATCATTAGTATTGTTAAATAAACATAAAAAAATGGCAAATGTCAAAAAATAAATGTTAAAATTTTTTGAAAGATTTTTCTCTGGAGCGCGAGTTCTGACACATCCTGTATAAATGTAATGTAATAACGTGTTCAGATACATTAAAAATAGAATTGATATACTAAATATATTGTTTTAGAAAAAGCCAAAAAAATCGTATTTTCTTGAATAAAACAAACTAATGTATTCTTCAAACTTAGAAAATTATTTAAAACTTTTTTCCTTACCGCTGTTTATTAGGAAATTATTTAAAAAAATGAGCTACACTCTTAAATTAAAAAGAATTAAAAATACCTAATTTGACAACTTGTTTATTTTGTTATAATTGTTTTTAATTTTTAATTCTGTAGTTTATAATGAAACTGATTCGCCCTTTTGTGGACCAATAGAAACGCTCTAAGCACCGCTTGAGGCTATAAATTCGAAAGGGCTTAAGCCTTCAGGCAGTATCTTTTGTACCGTGCAAGGGGTCATTAATTATCACTACTATGAAAACAGTTTACAATTCAACGTTTAACGAAAATTTAACAAGTGCCCCAACAGAAATGGAAAATCTCTGGCAAGGAAGTTCCCTCAGTTCAATTGAAGAAATTTTTGATCCGGTGAAAATAAAAAACGTTGTGGACTCTTTAGTCATGTCACGATTTAGTGGCCAAATTATAAAATCACGATCACGAAGATCTAGATTCACGTCTTCAAGTTCAGAAGATGTACTATCAAGTTCTGAAAATCATAATAATGTTTTTCATTGTGTTTCTAATGGGGTAAGTTGAATTAATTTTGATTGCAATGATTAGTATTATAATCTTGTTATTGCAGCGTTCTGATGTCAGTATAAATACTTGTAATTTATCTGATTTAATTTCAAATCCTTATCCTTACACCAGTTTCCACAACGGAAATATTTACATTTCGGACAGTTGCTTCGAAATGGAATCATCCGAAGCAAGTGAAGAATTAAATGATTATGACTCAATTCATTCAAAAATTGATTTACTTAACACAAAAATATTTGTTTTAAGTCAAAATAAGGAACAAATTTTGAAAGCAATTTACTATGACGATTTTTACAACAAGGCAAAATTTAGCAAAGTGAGACTTGAGGCCGAAAAGCTACTTTTAATCAATGGTAAGTTAAGCAATGAGAAGTTTTAATGTGTTAAGATTTTTTTTACAGATCTGACAAGTGATTTGTTAACACAAGATGCCAAATTTTTATTTGAAGAAAAATATAACGAGCAATGTTCAGGATCAATAAAAATTTCCAACTGTAACATATGGTGTGATAATCAAGATTTTGATCAATTTTTTATTTGTGTCGTAATTTATGGCACTAAAATATTGGCTTCAGAACTAACTCAAACTAAATCTAATGGAATAATTCATTTTAAAAAAGAATTTTTGGTTAAAGGGCTTCGACCAGATTTTATAATCGACATTAAAATTTATTCCGCATCTAAAAAGGTAAACATAATTCTTTTTTTCATTAATTGTTTTAAGTTTGATAAATTTCAGGCTATAAGAAAATCGAAAAAATCATTTATATGTAATTACGCTCCACGACCAGAAGAGAACATTATCATGCGAAAATCACTTTTTACTTTAAGGGGAGAGACTCAAATAAGCATAGAAGACCTTTCAAAATCAAATTTTATGGAAGTGCAAATGAATTCTGGAAGATTTACTAGCCACATTTTTAGTTATGTTAATTTAAACCTAAGTTTGTCAGGTTTTTTAAATGTTAGTCAAAGTCAACAGTATGCTTTGTGGAATAGGGAATGGTGTTGTTTGGAAGGACGGTATTTACAATATTTTGATTATCCTCCCGATGAAACCTACGAATGTAAACCTCTAGAAGTCATTGATCTAGCAACCTGTATTGAATTTAAACGTCTTTCGAGGGAGGAGTGTCCTCGAAAACAAACTCTTTTGTTAAAAACTTATTTTGGGAAAACTGTTTTGTTATCATGTGATTCAAGAACTGAATTAGAATGTTGGGAAAATTGTATAAAACAGATATTAAGTGCAATTGAAATTTGGGAACACTGATGTTGTTTATAATTGTACATTTTGTATTGTTTATTTTGTTATATGTGATGTATATTAGTAAATTTTATATGAAAATAGAAATGCGTATTATTTTTTAAAATCATATCATAAGACACGTGAAAAAAGAACGAAAAAAATTATTTTAGTTTAGACTAATTGAGATTGTTTTGTGCAACTTTTAGGATATTTTTCTTTGAGAAAATAAGAAACTGGAAAACGTTAAATGTCCCACTATGACGACAGAGAGAAAAAATTGTCTTTGATTGTTGTTTCCTCCGTTTTCAAGTCTACTAAAAAAAGTAAAAAACTTAAATTATCACCTAAAAATTATAAACTAATAAGCCACAAAAATCGCTTTTCCAACTCGATGGGACCATAATGATAACAAATCAATCAATCATAATCAATAATTTTTTTAACAATGCAAAATAAAAATTACAGATTAAGGAGAAGAGACATACGTGCATTCTATTTTTGGTAAATGGATCGATTTTATGAAATCCTCAACTTCTTTATCTTCGTCTTCACTCTCTAGACAATTCCAATTTTTTGCGTCAGTATTTTTACTTTGATTCACATTATTTTCTAACTCTTCAAGACTCAATTCCTTGTTCACTACCACTTTTTCCACCCAGTCTTCGACATCTTCCATCAATTCCCTCCCAGTACGTCTGAACTCTTTCCCAATCATAAGATTCATCGTTTCCCAAAATTTTCCCGCAGACATTTTTTGAGATATTAGCTACACCAACGCTAAGTGTAAAGTGACAAAATCACGCACACATCAGCACTTTGCTGTACTGAGATGTCTGATCATTTGACACGAAATCGAGTAATTGCAAGAACACGCTAATACTAAACCCTCTATGCACGCGATCAAGACAATTATGAGTGGAGAAGTTTCTAAAGGTTGCAGGTGGTGTATGATTTGATTTGAATTAGCAAAGTGCGATGAACTTTGTTGGTATTGGTGTACATTGAGTGAAACCAAGCAACCGTGGTATGATGGTGCATATTTCTCATGTGCATCGTTATGATCGCATGGCGATTGTGTTCATGTTTTCAAGAGGGAGCTTTTGTGCTGGCACGATATGCTACGAAAGCTTGACAGGGATTAATTTGCGGTCTATTAGTAAAATGTCAGAACGTGATGAGTCTAACTCTTTCATGAAATAAGTTCGCAGTCAATTAGCTGCTTTCATCAAGTTGGGGGACTCCTTAAAACGTTTTATTTTATTAGCGGTTTAGTTTAAGGAACCCTAATGTAATTGAAAAGATTAGGGACAAGGACGTGAAGTTTTTAATTCATTTTGATTAAAGCCAAATAAATGACTGTAAATTCTCAAAATCAACGGATATTTACTATTACTTTTTTAATTAATATTTCTGATTTTTTTAGGGAGAGTTAGCCGTTTTAAGAAGCAGGAAAATATAAGAGAGTTGGTAAAATTTGCTGTCGCATTTTAATTATTATTATGTTAAATTAAGAAATTGACGTATACTTACGCATATTTGATACTCGCTTTTGACCACCATTTTTGAGCCGCAGTAAACAATTTAACTTTTTGTTTCCTAAGTTTAGCAAATCTTGGATCATTCGGATGTACAACTCTGGTACCTCGGCGTTGAGCAATTTTTTTCTTAGCTTCTTCAGTATGTTTAATTTTTGGAGCACCTTTTTCAGTAAACAACACCATTTTGTCGGTAACAAACACGAGATTTTAAAAAGAAGAATAAGATTCACATTAAAATAATTTCTACATTGAAAATTTCGCTACAGTAATTTTGGATTTTGAGAAGATTTAAAACTACACTGACATTTTTATCACAAATTTTGAAAACTGGTTGACATTTTTGCGTTTTGTGTCAAAAAAGCTTCATTTGATTCTTGATGCCAAAACGATCACTTTTAAAACTCATTCTTTCTGATTTTCGTAAATTTGAGATATGTTTTAGAACGTGTAAAAATAAGTGACACGTATTTTACCGTTTTGTATTTTTTTAATGTATGTTGAAAAAACAGGGATGTAAAATTAAGTACCTCGGAGCAAAAAGAATTTTTATCTAAAGAACAAATCAACATATTGAAACATTTTTTTTTTAAATAATAGATATAAATATAATTACGGAAGTGATAATACATGTATTCTAAAAATTTATTATTAACAAATAATTTAAAAATATATTGATTAAACAAAAAAATAAACAATTACTCAGGTTTTAAAATTCTCATAAAATTTATGTAAAAACTCTCACATTTTTACTATGACTTCACATAACTTTTCAGATGGACGTTTTATTTAATTAATTAAAATTACCAATTACCGTCACTAATAAACTGTTCTAAAGAAAAAACATAATTTGCAATAATTTATTAACATTTATTTTTCAAAAAATATCAGTAATAAAAAACAAATTCTTCGTTGAGTAAATATTTCACAAATATTTCACATATTACGTTTGGCTATACAGGGTGTGTCAAAATTTCCGTACCAACGTGAAATGCCATGTAAGGTAAGATACCAGGAAGATGAAAAAATTGTTAAAAAAATCTGTCAAAAAATTTTTACATTTATTTTTTGAAAATTGACATTTTTTATGTCTATTTAATGATATTGATGACTTTGTAAAGGTTTTTTATAATCATTTAATAAAGGTACGATAATTTTGCCAATAAAAGCCACAAATACCATTAAATTTAGGATACAGCTTCCTTGTTTTTTGGGAAATTTAAAAACCTGCGTAATTGTTTATTTTTTTGTTTAAACAATAAATTCTTAAATTATTTGTTAATAACAAATTTTTAGAATACCTACATGTATTTTTAGGTCCGTAGTGTACCTACTTATATCTATTATTAAAAAAAAATCTATTCAATATGTTGATTTGCTCTTTAGATAAAAATTCTTTTTGTTACGAGGTTCTTAATTTTGTGCATCCCTGTTTTTTCAACATACATTGAAAAAATAAAAAACGGTGGAATACGTGTCACTTATTTTTACACGCTCTATAACATACCTCAAATTTACATAAATCAGAAACAATGAGTTTTAAAAGTGATCGTTTTGGCATGGAACTACTCTCTTTACTTAAGAAAAGCTTGTAGAGGTTATAGCGTTTATTTATAATTTAACAAAACTATAATACATATTATTTTGATTTTTATTTTACATTGAACGTTTGCTTTATGTTAGTACTTGTAACACTTAATCGTAAATGGTCATTTTTGTTATAAAAATTATCATTTCATAAATGTTCTTTGCTAAGTTAAAACTTAGTGCTCATTTTTTCTGCTCATTTATGCAAACAAATTTACAAATTATACCGTTTATAGTGTGTGTAGTAAATTATGCTTATAAACTTTCAGTCATTTAATAAATATGCAAACTAAACTGGTTTTTTAATATGAAATAAAATGGTTATTAACAAGTAATTAAACAAAAAATACAATGATAAGAGATACTACTACCGGTTTCAAAACGATGAATTAACAACATTTCTGAAATTAAAATTAAGTTAAACAATTGATAAACGAATTTATGATATAAGAATATTAATTTACACAAAATTACAAATTATGTTAGCAGGAATGTTGTACAAATATTAAAATTTTAAATTCTTATGACCTTTCTTGCGAACCTGCTATACCTACCCAAATGTTAAAATTTAAAACAGCACACGCCCATGCCACACAAAACCTGATTTATGCTCAAATATTTCAAGGTTTCTTCCTGCGACAACTTATCAGTAATATTTTTTTAACAATTTTTTTTTCTGATGTCGGCTTTTCGACATGTGTATATAAGCGGAGTTTGTCGCCCAGTCTTCACATCGTTTAACAACACAGAACGAAATAACCACAACAATGAAGGTAAGAAAAATTTATTACCAAATATAACTCAAAATAATTTTAATTAAATTTGCAGGCTGTATTTGTAGCTCTCTTCGCTTTGGTAGCCGTTGCTTCTGCCGGGTTTGTAGTCCCCAGTTTGGGATACTCTTCCTTGGTTAGTCCTTTAGCATACAGCTATGCTGCTGCCCCAGTTGCTGTTGCTGCTCCAGTCGCTGTTGCTCCTGCTATCCAAACTGGGTAAATATACAACTAAAGACGGTTAAAAAAATTTATTGCAACAAAAATTTTATTTTACCAGATATGTAGCTGCCACCCGAGGATCGGTACACACTGCTCCTTTGCCACAGGGACCTCTTGCCTTCAGTCACCACATCAACACTGCTCCAGCCCCAGGAACTTTCTAAATCGTTCTAGTTAATTTATGATATGTCTGTTGTTTACCTACAGTTAAATAAAAATTAAAATTAAATGTTGTTTTCATTACTTATCCACATTAAATTTAGAAACCTATCGATACTATAAAAACTTTAATTTATACAAGATTAGTCACGAGAGGGTTATTTCTGAATTTGTTTTTGCCGCAACCCATTATACATATTGCAACAATTTCTTGATTTCAAATTTTGAAAATAATTATAACTAAATCCACGATAGCTGTTATTAGTCTTGTCTCTGTGACATTATAGAAAAAAAATTATCTCTCAAATGATGCGACATGTTTTGTAATGTTTACCAACCGACTAGGCGCACGTTTAGAAGTCGATGGTAGACACTTTTTCACTTCACCTTTTATACAGGGTATTTCACGAGTGATAATGAGCCTGACGGAATTGAAAATACAACCCACATTTGCAAAGTTAACGTGTATATTTTAGATATCGCATTGTTTGAAAAACCGATTATGAATCCACGATAGCTTTGCTTCGATAATTTTAGTTGTCATAACTGACATTAAATTTCGTAAAAAGTCAAATGCTAAGTTCTATAGTTTCGTAGAAAAACGCGTTTAAAATTTCACAATTTTGACAAATTTCAATTTTTAAACGCCGATTACCGTGAAACTAAACGAGATAGCGCAA